GCTTAGCAAGATTGGATTGTTCAAGCCTGTCATACAGTTTTTCAATCCTTCTTGACAAAAAGAACCCAGTTTGTTGAAGTGCATTGATTTGAGTCTGTCGATATCTTAATAACGTCTGACGTACCTCAAGACTCGATTCTGGGACCGCTTTTATGTATACTATTAGTAAATGACATCATTATTGACGTTAACGTAAATTATTTAATTTATGCAGACGATGTCAACATTTTTTATCATGTAGATATCTTAAATGATTGTCTTAAATTACAAAGTAATATCAATAAAATAAATAATTGGTGTTAATAGATAATCTTCCATTAAATTCAAAAAATGTAATATAGTGTCATATATCAAAAAAGATTTTCCAGTTCTCTATTTGGATGGTAGTATATTAAATAGGACTGATTTTGTTATAGATCTTGGGGTAAAGTTTGATAGAAAACTTACTTTTAATGAACATCTAAATGACGTGGTATAAGCATCATTCAGAAAATTGGGATTTATCATTAGGCATGTAGTTGACCTCAATTAGATCGAAACTATAAATATATTGTACAATGCGTTCGTAAAATAAAAATCAGAACATGCTTCAATAATATGGAAACCATTTTATAATATTTACACAAGCGCTCTTGAAAATGTTCAAAGACGATATCTAAAATTCTGGGCATTTAAGATAGACGGAACATATCCACCAATTTGGGATAAACCAATTGCTTTTAAATAGATTCAAAATGCAAAGCTTAGAATACAGAAGAAAAAATCAGTCGTTAATAGTCCTGTATAAACTACCAAATTGATTGTTCCGAGTTATTAGAACAACTTGTACTTAAAGTGCCAAGAATTTATTCTCGAAACAACTTAAAGTTTTATCTCCCGCTAGGTCGGACAAATTTATTAAAAAACTCCTTGTCGTTGTTTTTAATGTGTGAAAACTGCAACAACCTGCAATGTAGAATTGATTTATTTTCTTGTAAGCTTTCGCAGCTCAAAAAATTGTAAAGCTGTTTCGGTAGTATTTGCTGTCTATAGTCATTAATTTATTTAATTTTTGTCATATTGTGTAATTTTTGTTATATTGTGTAATTTTTATTATATTTTGTAATTTTTATTATATTGTGTAATTTATGTTATATCCAAATTATGTATTATTGTGCAATATGTTATATTTACTTTTGTAGTTACAAGGAATTTTTTTCCTGCTCTATAACTAGGCATTTAGCTTGTAGAGCAGTGTATTTAATAAATAAAAATAAATGAATAAATAAATAATGAAAGCCTGAACAAAATTAAAAAAATTACGCATTATGACGGTTGAACGATATCGGGGACTATTTCAAAAAAAAAGAAATAAGTGGACAAATGGGATAGAGTCGGAGTTTTGGGCACTGTATAATTAATAAAACGGAATTTGGATTATAAGCATGAATGGACCACGGACGGAATGCGATACAGGAGAAATAAATATTACTCAATACTTGCTGCGTTTGAAAAGCCACATCCGATGCATTTTTTACATCTCGAGCGTTTTTTATCCACATCTACTACTACACCTGCGTTTGTTTATCCCAGATGTACCTGTTCAGATTACATTTTTTACATCTCGATTTCAAATGGGATGTGAATGATATGTTCGTTCCATTCCAGAAATTTAGTGTTCTGTGAAGCTAAGTTTGTCAATTTTTTCTTTTTTTGTGCTAATATGAATATAAAAGTGATTGGTTTGTTTAATTTTTGTTTAGATATGCGTTCGTAAAATAAAAATCAGAATATGCTTCAATAATATGGAAATCATTTTATAATATTTACACAAGAGCCCTTGAAAATGTTCAAAGACGATATCTAAAATTCTTGGCATTTAAGATAGACGGAACATATCCACCAATTTGGGATAAACTAATTGCTTTTAAATAGATTCAAAATGCAAAGCTTAGAATACAGAAGAAAAAATCAGTCGTTAATATTCCTGTATAAACTACCAAATTGATTGTTCCGAGTTATTAGAACAACTTGTATTTAAAGTGCCAAGAATTTATTCTCGAAACAACTTAAAGTTTTATCTCCCGCTAGGTCGGACAAATTTATTAAAAAACTCCTTGTCGTTGTTTTTAATGTGTGAAAACTGCAACAACCTGCAATGTAGAATTGATTTATTTTCTTGTAAGCTTTCGCAGCTCAAAAAATTGTAAAGCTGTTTCGGTAGTATTTGCTGTCTATAGTCATTAATTTATTTAATTTTTGTCATATTGTGTAATTTTTGTTATATTGTGTAATTTTTATTATATTTTGTAATTTTTATTATATTGTGTAATTTATGTTATATCCAAATTATGTATTATTGTGCAATATGTTATATTTACTTTTGTAGTTACAAGGAATTTTTTTCCTGCTCTATAACTAGGCATTTAGCTTGTAGAGCAGTGTATTTAATAAATAAAAATAAATGAATAAATAAATAATGAAAGCCTGAACAAAATTAAAAAAATTACGCATTATGACGGTTGAACGATATCGGGGACTATTTCAAAAAAAAAAGAAATAAGTGGACAAATGGGATAGAGTCGGAGTTTTGGGCACTGTATAATTAATAAAACGGAATTTGGATTATAAGCATGAATGGACCACGGACGGAATGCGATACAGGAGAAATAAATATTACTCAATACTTGCTGCGTTTGAAAAGCCACATCCGATGCATTTTTTACATCTCGAGCGTTTTTTTATCCACATCTACTACTACACCTGCGTTTGTTTATCCCAGATGTACCTGTTCAGATTACATTTTTTACATCTCGATTTCAAATGGGATGTGAATGATATGTTCGTTCCATTCCAGAAATTTAGTGTTCTGTGAAGCTAAGTTTGTCAATTTTTTCTTTTTTTGTGCTAATATGAATATAAAAGTGATTGGTTTGTTTAATTTTTGTTTAGATATGCGTTCGTAAAATAAAAATCAGAATATGCTTCAATAATATGGAAATCATTTTATAATATTTACACAAGAGCCCTTGAAAATGTTCAAAGACGATATCTAAAATTCTTGGCATTTAAGATAGACGGAACATATCCACCATTTTGGGATAAACTAATTGCTTTTAAATAGATTCAAAATGCAAAGCTTAGAATACAGAAGAAAAAATCAGTCGTTAATATTCCTGTATAAACTACCAAATTGATTGTTCCGAGTTATTAGAACAACTTGTATTTAAAGTGCCAAGAATTTATTCTCGAAACAACTTAAAGTTTTATCTCCCGCTAGGTCGGACAAATTTATTAAAAAACTCCTTGTCGTTGTTTTTAATGTGTGAAAACTGCAACAACCTGCAATGTAGAATTGATTTATTTTCTTGTAAGCTTTCGCAGCTCAAAAAATTGTAAAGCTGTTTCGGTAGTATTTGCTGTCTATAGTCATTAATTTATTTAATTTTTGTCATATTGTGTAATTTTTGTTATATTGTGTAATTTTTATTATATTTTGTAATTTTTATTATATTGTGTAATTTATGTTATATCCAAATTATGTATTATTGTGCAATATGTTATATTTACTTTTGTAGTTACAAGGAATTTTTTTCCTGCTCTATAACTAGGCATTTAGCTTGTAGAGCAGTGTATTTAATAAATAAAAATAAATGAATAAATAATGAAAGCCTGAATAAAATTAACAAAAATACGCATTATGACGGTTGAACGATATCGGGGACTATTTCAAAAAAAAAAGAAATAAGTGGACAAATGGGATGGAGTTGGAGTTTTGGGCACTGTATAATTAATAAAACGGAATTTGGATTATAAGCATGAATGAACCACGGACGGAATGCGATACAGGAGAAATAAATATTATTCAACACTGTACCATACATGGTTCCAACTTGGTACTGACGTACTAGGGCGGTACCTAACATACGTCAACAAAAACGTTACGTGTAGCTCCTTTATAGTGAAACGAAACGGCCTGATGTATCAACCAAGTCATTCAAGAACATTTATGCTATTTAACACTTTCGCTGCCCAAGCTTTATTGCCAATTACACGCTCTGGCCCATCGATATACGAACATTTAGAAGTTTGGACGTTCATTAACGTCATGTGCCATACATAATGAAAATCTAAAAATTTATTCTGGTAAATAACTATTACATTTACAGGAACATTATAAATACAGACCGGAGTTACCACAAAAAGAGAAAAGAATATAGATCTCTATAGGATGTCAAAGAAGTATATTACCGGGCCGCTGGCTAACGTTGATTCTTTATCGATCAAGGTATATAAGGCACTTCATGAATGGGTGACATGAGACTATAAGTTCTCGGGAGCTTATCGAGGGAGTGGAATAAATGAAGAATTAATAAATCGAAAGAAGTAGGGTATCTAAATGGTGGTACAATTAACCAATGAAGCTGCAGCCACCATGTCAAAATTTTGTAGGGAAGGCTGGACCATTCAAGGCGGGGAGTCAAAAACAATGAAGAGTAGTTTAAAAGGAAGTCTGAATGGATTAAAAAAGACGTTAACTCTTCGTGGTGTTATAGACACATGTTTTGAATAAAAGTTATGTGGATTTGAAAAAAATATAATTTAAAAACATGTTTGGATATACAGGCTTAACAATTAAAAGGATTTTTGCTATAATCAATATTCGTCGAGAAGAGCGTTTTAACATACCTCGAATAGAGTAGAAGAAGATACAGAGAAGAATATAGTAAATATGTTTAAACTATCTAGAAAAAGGAACTAATGGAGTAAAATGGTCAAATGAGTGTAACTGCAGACATTTTTTTAATTATATTCTTAAAAATTGAAAAAAGAAGAATCTGCATCATTTTCTACTTTACTAATAGACTACTGATGACCTATTGACTTTTAAAAATGGTTATAAAGAAGTTATGACATGACTTATTTTGTATTTTGAAAAGATTCACATTATTGGCGAAATATTATGAACAAATGTTTAAGATCTCGTAAATAAAATATATTTAAATAATATATTTTTTTAGATATATCTGCAGCGGGGCCCTTCTTTTCTGCAAATGGGAAGAACATTGGTCGTTCATGGACGCTTCCTATTTTTGTTTCATCTCATTAAGCACGATCGGATTTGGAGATTTGGTACCAGGAGACAAAATCTATGGAAGGGGAAGAGATTTTTACTCGGAAGTGCTGGAGATCAGTTTCGTATTTTGTTCAATTTATCTAATGATGGGGATGGCATTGATAGCTATGTGCTTTAATCTTATGCAGGTAAATATAAATATAACATTTAAATACCTCTAAAATCCACCAAAAGAAGTTGAGGCGCTGTACATTACATTATCAATGAAAAAAAAAGGTTATTTCGTGCAAAATATATTTACTTAAATAAAAATTTCATACCATTCCATAGAAACTTAGTAATGATTAGAGACTTAACCATTTGACTGATCTTTAAAAATTTTTTTTTTTTTGATTTTTAATTTCACTAATCAGAGGCTCGATTAATTTTTGTTTACTTTTCACAATGATTAATTTAATATATTTATTTAACTAATGGCCGTTAAATTCATTACGGAGCAAAGTTCAAAGTAACTACATACTGATTAGAATGTATGCCTACTTGGCAGATTAGGGAATTATAGCGAACTATAACTTATAAATTGTTAAATATTCAACTGCTACTGTCTTCGTATTCATGTACTTAAGAAAGAACAATAAAATATTTAAGTAGTCTGAGAGTGGTGTACACAATGCTCGTGAAATAAAAGTGGAAAATTTACAAAAGAGTAATAAATTTGAAAATTTTTATCAAAAAATGTATTAATATTAAAGCATTAGAAACGACTTAAGTCATTAATACTTTCCACATTGAGTCAATCAAATGAAACATATACAGGGTTGGCCAAACCTCTGTCGTAGTTCTATAACTCCTACTATGCAAATCTTAACGATTTATTTGATGTATACCTGTCAATGGTGGCCAATACCAAATATCCCAAAATTATTTTCTTGTATACAGGGTGGCCTAATAGTAAATTAGGCAAATCACTTAATTTTTCTTAAATGGAATAACCCAACTTTTTTTACAATTTTAGGTACTCTATGGTCACTAGTACATACCCACAAAATATTGTTTCTAACATCCCACCCCTTTCGCAGAAAAAAAAAATTACCAAAAAATATTACATTTTCAGACGCCTATTAAAATATGCAGTGCTCTCTCGAATTTGATGTTAGAATTTAAAAAACTACGATTGTATAAAGCCAATAGACCAAAGATTTTTTTGGACCAAGTTTGAGTTTTTTATTTTGAACAGGGTGGTCACAAATTAATTTCACTTTCCAAAAATTTCGAGGGAAATTTTTTTAAATTTTTCAAATGTATTACCCTGTATTTCTATTCATCAACTGAAGGAGAATTTCATACCCTTTCACTTCCCTATGTACTTTTCTATACCTATCTGTCGCCGTTATAAAATAAATTCAAAAGGAAGAAAATTACGATAATAAAATTTAATTGAAATTTATCCTAAAACATACATTTACATTTTATAAAAGATGCTCAAAATGTCTGCCATTTTCTCTAATGCATACATTTATTCGTTGGGCGAATGATCGAGAAACGTTTCTAAGCATATCAGGTGTAATGGAATGGAAAGCTTGCACTATCCTTTCTTTCATATTTTCAGGTGTTGTAGGACTATTTCTACCAATCCATCTATTTGGAAACTTTTCATCTAATTCATCTGCCACTTCGCGTAAAAAATGCGCTGCTGCCCCATCATGTTGGTACCACATTGTTAGTCTTACAGCAAGGGAAATGTTTTCAAGTAAAGTAGGAAGATGATTTGCTAAAAAATCTAAATACATCAGACCATTTAAGTTGCCTTCAAAAAAATACGGCCCAATAACATGATCCCCAATTATACCTCCCCAAACATTTAAACATTTAGGATTTTCCGTGGAATAATAGTGGAAATTATGTCTATTAACGAATCCGTTCTTGTGGAATGTAGATTCATCAGAAAACAGCACTCTATCAAAAAAAAATGGATTTTGTTGCAGTTTAGTTTGTGCCCAGTTACAAAACACCATTCTATTATCAAAATCGGTGTCTTTCAGCTCTTGATGCAATTGTATTTTATAAGGATGATATTGATGCTGTTTTATTAAAATCCTTCTAACGGATGTTCTACTTATACCTACTACTTCGGCAATCTTTTTTTGACTTACATGAGGATCTTCTATCGCTGTCAAAATTACAGATAATTGGTTATCATTATCAGTAGCACGTTTGTCAATTATTGGTTTTTTATAAGCAACATTTCCTGTTTCGGTAAATCTTTCATGTAACTTTTCAAAACTTTTTTGATCAGGGATGCGTCTATCGGGATATCGTTGATGATAAATTCTTTTTGCCAATAAAAAATTTCTGTCGGATTCTCCCAAAACATAGACCATGTAAATTAATTCGTTTTTCGTAAAATTCATTATTAATAGAAGAATTATCGCGATCAGTAAAAATAACTTGACACTTCATTAATAAATAATCTGACACTTCATTAAGACCCAGCCTACTTGATTGAATGTTCACTTTCAATAAAACCACTGGTAGAAATTGGATTTTTGATAGATCAATGTCTTTTTGGAATTTACTTTTAAACGACGACAGATAGGTATAGGAAAGTACATGGGGAAGTCGAAGGGTATAAAATTCTCGTTTCGTCGATGAATAGTAATACAGGGTGTTCTATTTGAAAAATTTGAAAAAATGTCATAGAAATTTTTGGAAATTATAATTAATTTGTGACCACCCTGTACAAAATAAAAAATTAAAACTTGGTCTAAAAAAATCTTTGGTCTATTGGCTTTATACATTTGTAGTTTTTTAAATTCTAAAGTCAAATTCGAGAGAGCACTGCATATTTTAATAGGCGTCTGAAAATGTAATATTTTTTGGTATTTCTTCTTTTTCTGCGAAAGGAGTAGGATGTTAGAAATAATATTTTGTGGGTATGCACTAGTGACCATAGAGTACCTAAAATTTGAAAAAAAGTTAGGTCATTCCATTTAAAAAAAAATAAGTGATTTGCCTAATGTACTATAGGGCCACACCCTGTATACAAGAAAATAATTTTGGGATATTTGGTTTTGACCACCATTGACAGGTATACTTCGAATAAATCGTTAAGATTTGCGCAAAGGAGTTATAGAACTACGACAGAGGTTTGGCCAACCCTGTATAATTTACATCAAATAAATACTTAAGGCCATAGTCACAACAATATATGTGCGGCTGTATCTCTGTCGAAAACAACTATTCCTATGGCTAATACCTCACCAGGTATTAAATTAGGTCAAAAGAAAGAAGAGATAGCAGAGAGAAAATACTCTACCTTTGATTTTGCCCACTAAGGAGAAAGTAATTCTTGGACCGGTTTCTACCTTAATAGGAGTCTGATTGCAATACCAATTTTGATCGAACTCAATTACGGCGGGTTGAGCATGAGTAAATATTCAACAAGCGAAAATGGTATCGCCATCTATACTTAGTAAGCAAACTCAAAGATCGCTGTAGTACCTAGTTCAAAGACTAGGTGAAATAAAAGCCAGGCGGGCTATTCTTAAAAAAGGAAATAATTCTAAACTCAAATGTGACTGAGATGTAAAATACATCGAATAAATACTCAAAGCCATAGTCACAACAATATATGTGCGGCCATTTCTCTTTCGACAACAACTACTCCTTTGGCTAATACCTCAACAGGTATTGAATTACGACGAAAGAAAATAGGCATGGTTTAAAAAATAAAAAGTAGGACATCAACTGTGTCAAAAATAGGACGGCGACGCGCATGACGTCAAACGTAGAGTTTGTATAGGCGCGAATTTAAAAATACTGATGAAGTGTGAGAAAAATATATGCTATTTACTGAAATTTCATATGGATATTAAAGGATAATATTTTAGAAATTACATGAAATATCTAAGGATATCATTATGGAATAGTTAATGAAAAGCTATGAACGAAAATAAATGCAAATACATACATGGAAATATTTAATTTAGGTAACTATTTCGTTTTAATGATTTATTTTTGTTATACAAATTCGAACTCATGTTTTTAATTTTGAAGAACATTTGATTTCTAAAGGTTTCTACATATAACCAGGATAATAGGAATGGTATCCTCGCAAATCGGAACTTCTCAACTGGGGACCCTGGGTAAAAATTTCGCTTATGGGGACGCCGATTAGGATTCGCAACTGGTGACTCATTTACATGCATTGTATCACTCAATTGAATACACTTAGCTACTTTTTATGAAAAAGATGGGATTTATGATGTATAAATAAGAAAACAAAAATAGGTTTTTAAAATTTGTTTTCATACATATAATATAATGCAGAGAATAAAAATAATATACCAAATACAAATAACTGCTACATGGTGTGTGTATATTCAAAATTAAAGTAAAATATCACTTCATTTTTCCTAAATACAGTCACTGACAGTATTTTAATTCTTTCATCAAGTACAACATGTCGAAATTTTCTTGTTTTTTTTGCGACATACAATTTCACCTTTGCTGTATATTGCAAAATTTTCAGCCCTCAAAAGTGTCCCCAGTTAAGACCAATATGAAGATCTACTTTGATGTCTCCCCTATAATTATTGGAAGGTCGAAAGTGCTTGAAACGAAACACACTTTTTTTGTTTTAAATTTATCTGCACGTTGCAAGGGCGGCTGCAGGTCGAACTTTCAGAAGGAAGGAATTTGGGGTGTAGCATTGCCTATAAAACAATTTACTTTTTAGCACATTTTTTTTTTTTTAATAAAAGGCTCATAGATTGTAAAAATTTCAATCTAGGAGAGGGCACGGTCCCCTGGGTCCCCTACGGAACCTCCCCTTGGGCTCACTTTTAAGTAATATCTTGCTGTCGAGGAAAGTGAAAAAACATGTCTTCTTAAATCCTTTTCTTTAATTTTTACTATTACATCTGTACATAGCTTACCGCATTTTTTAAAGTTTTTGCTAATACTACTCACAAAGAACAAAGTTTATAACATTATAATACAAATATCCGCTTTAAATGGTATAAATTAATATAAACAACTTACAAACCACTGCAATGTGCATCTGTCATAGGACATTTAATACGCTCCAACTTTACTAACTCTACACATGACGTCAGCGCCGCCATGACACCATGCACGATATCCACCCCTGGAAAATAGCAGAGATAGAAAATATTTTCAACCAATT